TGATCGAAAAGCTACTGGCTCGCTGGAATTGCACGGGTATTTTCAAAAAGCTATGCGTTTACAAGCAGGTATTTTTGGAGCCTAAGCGAAGCGAAGATCTGAACACTACGATGCATGACTATTATTCAGTGGTCGCGCATCCGGAGAAAGTATCCGCACAGTGCAACGGTGCTGTTTTCATCGCTGTCTATAGAGGCAAGATTTCCGAAGGCCTGGATTTCTCGGACGACAACGCCAGGGCAGTCATAGCGGTTGGCATTCCGTACCCGAACGTGAAAGATCTCGTTATTGAGTTGAAAAGAGACTACAACAACGAGCGTCTGAGGAAAGTGAGCCGCCCCACGAGGTCAGCCTTGTTTTCCGGTGATCACTGGTACGAAGTTCAAGCCTACAGGGCATTGAACCAGGCTCTTGGACGTTGTCTGAGACATGCAAACGACTGGGGAGCGCTGATATTGGTCGATGAGAGGTTTTCTCAGAACCACGACAAATATACCGTTGGTTTATCCAAATGGATACGCAATAGCCTCATTCATTACAAGGACTTTCAGTTTATGTTACGTAGTTTGACCGACTTCACCAGAAGGCTGAAAGATTGTTAAAACAGTGTTCGATTGTTTTGATTCTGTTTCATCATTCTCGCTTTATGCTTGACTAATGGGTGTTTTATGTGCATAAATCATGTCACAAATCATATGCTTACATGGCCTCCTGGATTACTATGAGCTAGGAAAGGTGCAATATGTCATAAAACCTTGTTGGGAACAAAGTGTGCGCCATAAATCATATATTTCATTTATCTGTGCATAAACCCATTAGCTCGAATTTAATAATTTCTCAGAAATGTTTGGTCGTTAATGAATGATGTCACTGTATAAATATACTGCAAGGAATCTATTGGATTAATGTTCAGCAAATATATATTTTTGAAGCTATGCGTATTATTAATCATCATTACTGAGTCATGTACAGAGTGGAATTTAACAAGCAGTCGATAATGTCATTCAGTAATAAACAGCTATTTGCAGTCTTAACAGTTGTCTTACTATTCAAATATTCAAATTTTTTAAACTAACTTTTGATATCTTATGCAGATTCATACTTAGTCCTATATTTTAACTTTTTGCCTGTGAGATGGGTCAGGATGCGTTGCAGAGCTCAGGCACGCGTCAGGCAGCATTTCTGGCCACAAAATAGTCTCTTTCGTGACTTAGACTAACTTTGGGACAACTGCCTTTGTGACACTCCCCTAATGTATACATCATGTCGTAACGTCTGTGAATGGAGGATCACGTTTGTCATTTAGCAACGAATTCGATCTCATGACTGAAATGCAACCAAATACCGCGCTTCCGCCACACGTCATGTGATTGGTTACTAATTCAGCTGTAGCTGTATTGTAAACAGCCTTGTTTAATTGTTTCAATATTGTCCTTATTTATTAATTATGTATAACCCGGTGCAGTGAGCTTCTGTAATTCTTACAGTACCGCAGTATCCTTGTAAAGGAGACGAACGGAGGTGGTGGGGGGGTGCTTACGCTGAGTAAATCCGGTATCAGAAACTGACATGTTAAAAGTGGCAAGTTGAACAGCACTTCAATACTTACATTCTTCTTCTTGTTGTTGAAGGAGATGTCTTCGTTTCTTCTCTTTTCCCATACGTCCATATGTGTATTCGTGAATGTGATTTTCCCCCTCCCCTTAGGTAGTTGATCGGATGGCATTTCGCAGCTAGTGCCGGAGTTTAAATCGCACTTCAACCTATCTCCCCATGGCATACATCGCTTTGCGTTCCGCCAATCCGATTCTTTGGCAAAATTCGCCGCCTTCTCATTCCGAAGGAAAGCAAAGTTAAAGTGTCACTTTTTATTGATGTTTTTCATACATTGCTATCCGCAAAACAAATGTTTACTCGCGCTTTTTTAACATTTTTTTTAAATGGTTAATGTTTGTGATTTCTGGCGACTGCTTTTTTGGCCAAGGCTTACGAAACAACGGAAGCTGCAAAAAATGCCTTACCTTTTTGAAGGTTGAGATCGATCAGTAATCTTAATAATACCAGATGCCGGTGCATTACAATCTTCCTCATTTTCATAACACTATGGAATATTTAATTTCGGTACAGTACTCAGGATCTCTGGTTTATTCGAAGTTATGTTGGAGTGTCTTTTACAGGTAAAACACTAGAAATGTGTACATCTTAGTTATAGTCAAATAGTGCGCTTAATTTGGTTTAACAATGAATGTTGGGTATATTCGCTGCCTGATCACGCTATATCAGGTTGTGAAGCGCCAACCATTCATTCATGTTCAAGTATACAACATATACACGCGTAGCATCTTAAACTCGTAACGATGTCATAGCATGGATTGCAGGAAGTGGAAGTGTCTTCTAATTCTGTTCACTGATGAATGATGTGCTAAATAATAGACACAAGCAATTGGCCTATGTTGAAGTGTCGTTGTTCAAACTACTGACGTTTCAGTTAAGTAATATTAGTTATACTGAGGGCAAAAAATAAAACAGGTTAAAGGTCGCGCATCGCTGCCACTGTCAGCGGTCATAACACCCATTAACGTGTATAACAGACAGTGAATCATGTCAAGAATATCAAAAGGGGCTGCTAATTAGTTCGTTGTTTTGGAAGCTTGTAGTAAACTGGCTGTCCTTTTACATCTCGCTTCGTCCATAAATGGTCTCTAAGGCATTTAGAGGGAAAGCTACTGTGCTTACCTTCAGTAGATCAGATAAAATGGATTATTTTCAAATCTAGTGTAAATCACACAATTCTAAAACTCTATATATATATATATATATATAGCCGGTAGTATTC